GTGTGTGTGTGTGTGTGTGTGTGTGTGTGTATACATACATATATATATATATATACACATATACACACACACACACACACACGTAAACGCTTGAATTTGTATTGTTACGTACCCTGAATTTTCTAGAACGACTCCACACGGCTATAAATATAACCAACGCGACGCGCTAAAAAGGAGAGTATAAATTATTAGTTTGCTACAGTCAGTTTGTTATAAGCTTCGGAAGCTATAACTGTGATTGTTATAACGCCTATCAATCGGAAAACTTCAGATATATGACCAGGAGCATTTACAAAGTTCGAACATTATAACTCATTTAACTTAAATGGATTCTTGTAGGGCATTAGTACTTTCTCGAAAATATTACATAACGTCACGGTGGAAAACCCGGTGTGTGTTTGTGGCTGATAAATAACGAAGGACAAAGCTAGCTGACTTATCGCGAAGTGAATTATACCTACATCAACTCGTAATCAACTCGCTCATCGTGAACCCTCGATAAGATATCGAAGAAGTTGTAGACTAAAAGGAAGACTTTATATTGCTTGATTATTTATAAATAATTGTTTGTAATAATTGTTATTGTAAATTGTACTGCTGTGTGTATATTAAAACGTATTTGTGTTAAAAATGAAAACTGTATCAATCTTGTTGGCAAACATCATAAACTGATTATATATCAGCTTTTACTTAACTACTAAATCCAAAGTACAATTTAACTATTAAATTTATCAGTTAACTCAATTTCAGTCTATTTAAAATTCTAATACGTAGCATAATATATAGAGTCAAAGCAGTTACTTGCTTCAAGTGTAAAGCGATTTTCATGTTAAGATTAAAAATACTTTTCTCCTTTTAAAAATTAATACAGTTCTTTGGTGTAATCCCTAAAACCTCAGAACTAAACTTGTTTCCAACCTATTTTTCGATATATTCACTACCCTAATTTTATGTGAAGTCAGTTTGACCAGCCTCTCTTAACCATCATAAAAAAATACAAAATAAATCAAAATTATCCTTCGTTTCTTTCAAGAATTAATTTAAATTGTAGCAGGAAATTACATTTGCTTACACTAAATAATTTAAAGCTCTTAACATTATACATCCGTTTCTAATCAAATTTTATTGTCAAGACTCTCAAGCTTTGTAACAAACCGTTTGGATAAGTATCGTATGGCGGCATCAATATCTAGATACGCATCGTATCAGCCCTAGTTTCTAGTGGCAATATTTTGCAAGGTTTAACCACAAACTACATCTTTATTTAATGATTATGAACTACAACATGTTCGTTTAGTATTAAAAGAGGAAACATTTCGACCCGCTATTAAATTGTTGTTGGATGCTTGTTGTTAAGCGCAAAGCTACACAAAGAGCCATCCGTGCTCTGACCACCACGGGTATCGAAACCCAGTTTCTAGCGTTGTACGCTATTAAACGTTCTCTATTAGCCCAACTCTGTGGAGCTTCTTCTAAACAACGAAAATTAAAATATTTTTCCACAGTTAGGTTTATGATGGTGAGTAACTAATATTTAAAGCGAGAAATGTGAAGTTTTAGGGATTCGAGAAAGATACTTCGTAATCAAAAAGAAATTTAACAGAACAATATCAAGTTTAATTACGTCCCTTGATATTAGGTTCTATTACATTTTTTATTTATTTAAACAACTATTGAGAATTTAAGGTTATTTATACTTATAGTACGAGTAATGAACCGAAAAAAGTTTATCGTTTCAAATGCGTAACTTTAAATATTTTGGGTATCGAGCTTAATATTAATATACCAACAATGACAACGTAATGTCCGTGAAAAAAAAAAGAAGTTGATAACAACATAACTTAAAGAATCAACAATGATTGAATATCTTCTAAATCCAGTATCCATTTACCTTTGATCTGGAATTCATAATGCTGTCAACAGCGACTGTTTCTCATTCAATAATGTGATATACTATTTTGAGCGCAGCTGTTTTCTAGAATTGTCGTGACAACCATTTTACTGGTATCAAAAGGGGAAGGAGCATCTGCTTCAGAGGGGCTAACTAATCTGTTTTTCGTGTGTACTATAGATTTGGTCAAACTTGCTGGGCACGTGCCAAACATGCATAGTATACAACAAAAGCTGCCAGCAAACAAACGGAAGTATTCTGATCAGCTGTCAAGCCTTACAATAATAGAGGACGTTACAGTCGCGTTGGAGAGGAGGTGGGAAATGAGGGAGGGGGGGAGGATATTTGAAAGGAGCGTCAGCTGGATGAACTTCATGCATCACTACACACTTGGGATCTTATTGTAGGGCTGTCTACGCCTACAGATCTGAAGTTGCGTACTAATTCTCTAAAACCTACATGTTTTTCCTAAAATGTCATTTTCTAAAACTTGTTTGCCTCCATCCCTAATCCAAGTTATGTTCCATCAACAATTAGAAACTACGTTCCCATAGCAACTAACTTTCCCAGAGTTGCTTCTACATATTACAAAGAGTGAGTATGAAAGTCAAAAGAAATCGCCCAATGAAATTGAAACGCACTTTAAAGAGCATCCAATAAAAAAGTTTTGTACGTTAGAAGATCAGTAATAAAATATAAAACTAGGCAAAAAAAGAAATCAGCTGGTGCAATTGAACTTATACGAGTGTTTAAAGTTATTTCCTAACCGAGTATGAACACACAAACCACGTTTCCAAATTGGCCTGCCTCGGGCATTTCACCATTTCCTAGTGTGATGCACAAGTTTATTTCATATATAATTTTAAGTTGTTTTCTCAACCTGTATAAAACCAAGTTAAATTATGTAATAACTGATTTACACACTTCTAGAGCGACATAATGGTCTTGTACTATGGTTTACCAGCAGTTTCTTTGGGCGAATGTATACTACTACTACTACTAGCATTTTTCTTGTTAAGACTATGATGATCCTCATCATTTGGTTAAAAATAGTTTATTTTATTTAATACTACCTGGAGTACCCGTTCCCTGGACGGAAGTTATGCAAATTCATGATTAATGAAATGTTATCTTGGGACATGAAGAGTTGCTTCCCTTATATGCAATTGTAAAAAACGCCAAAAGTCCCATAAAATGTTTAACAACAACTTTGCATACATCTCCCCACGGACCCAAAAACCTCCATACCAATTTGGGTGAAGATCCATCCAAACCCTGCGAGATATTTACATAGACATACAAACAGTAAGTACTATTATATTTACATAGATACATCAGTATCACTGTGGAAGCCATAATTTAATCACCCTGCTTCCTTATACAAATTTGTAATTAAATAAAGATAAAATTATGATGTTCCGCATTACCAGATTCATCTTATAAATTCACTCATTTCTTATGATTTAATAATTAATTGAAGCTGAAACTAGTAATTCTCTTATAAATCCAAGGATCTTAACTCCAAATAAATAAATAAATAAAAACGTTTT